TAACTGGAGGAAGGCTGAGAAGGTTGGAAGACAGAGGGGAAGCAGAAGGTATGGAGGCCTCCTGGGGGATGGAGAATAGGTCTCCATCACACTCCCAAAAGCATCATTAAGGGTATGACAGAATCCAGTTTTCCTTGAAATAGAGCTGTTTTCTGAATTGGAAGGGTTTGTGGGGGGGGGGAATAGCTCAGTTTTCCATTGCAGATAAATGCCCTCTGGACATACCAAGGAACCTGCAAGCATCTTAATAGTTTAGATTAGAATACAATTGAGTTTTATTCTATTTCTATTAAAATATAATGAGAGAGGAGGAGTACTAGTATTCCATTATGTGGTTAAGCTAAATGGTGTGTTGAAGGGAGAGGGGGGAATGGTTATTTTAAAATAATCAATGGGAGATGATTAAGATAAAGCTTTTCTTCAAAGGAAAAGATGGAAAATTGTCTCTCTGGAATTAAACTATTATGCAAGTAAAATTATTAGAACATGATGGTTACTCAGTTTAAAATATTCACAGCGCCAAGTGCCATCATCCATCGTTTTAAGAATCATATTAAGTGGTTTTCATCTTAAAACGTGAAGTACTAAATTGGAGCGTCTGCCGTTAAAGGCAGCATTCAGGGAACCCTTTAATGGAAAGTAACAGAAATGAAGACACACACACACGGCTTTTAAAAGGGATTAGATAAATTCATGGAGAATAAGGCTATAACTGGCCACTAGCCAAGCTGGCTATGCTCTGAGCGCATGATCAGAGGCAGTTGTTGTTGTTTAGTCGTTTAGTCGTGTCCGACTCTTCGTGACCCCATGGACCAGAGCACGCCAGGCACTTCTGTCCTCCACTGCCTCCCGCAGTTTGGTCAAACTCATGCTGGTAGCTTCGAGAACACCATCTAACCATCTCGGTCCTCTGTCGTCCCCTTCTTCTTGTGCCCTCCATCTTTCCCAACATCAGGGTCTTTTCCGGGGAGTCTTCTTCTCATGAGGTGGCCAAAGTATTGGAGCCTCAGCTTCAGGATCTGTCCTTCCAGTGAGCACTCAGGGTTGATTTCCTTCAGAATGGAGAGGTTTGATCTTCTTGCAGTCCATGGGACTCTCAAGAGTCTCCTCCAGCACCATAATTCAAAAGCATCAATTCTTCGGCGATCAGCCTTCTTTATAGTCCAGCTCTCACTTCCATACATCACTACTGGGAAAAGGCAGTAATGTAATCAGTAATCAGAGGCAGTAATGCTTCTGAATACCAGATGTTAGAAAACCCACTGGAGGGGAGAGTGGTTTTTTGTTTGGGTCATGTTTGTGGGTTTCCCACAGGCATTTGGTTGACCTCTGTGAGAGCAGGATGCTGGCGTAGATGGACCACTGACCTCATCCAAAAGGTTCTTCTGTTCTTAAGAAGATAACTTTAAAATAGAAGCTTTGAGCAACAGGTGGCCCATGTAAATAAGGGCAATTTCCACAACCTCCCCAAAATCTGAATATTGGCCTGTGCCCCTCAATAATGTTTCTGGTGCAAATGCAGGAAAATCTTGGTTTCCCAAAGGAAAACACCTCATTGGATGGTAAAAGTGTTCTTGGACTGTACCGCTATAGAATGTATGGTGCAGACTGAATGATCCTGCATGAGTCATATAGGCCTGGTTCACACATTACAATAAGCCAAACCACAGGTTACCATGACTGCACAACCTGTGTGGGTCTGTCCCACTCTGGCTAATGGTAGGGCCGGTCCTGACATCTTGGATTCTTTTGGGCAACCTTCCACAGTGGTGTTTCATGGTGGTTGCAGAGTTCAGGAGTAGCAGAGAGAAAATGCATTACCTGGATCCAGTCCCGACTAGAAAACATATGTTTTGGCCTCGGCGTTGCAGATTGCCAATGAGCCAAACATAAAAAATGTCACTGGCCTCAGGATTGAATTACTTGCGTGATCTGTGCGCAAGCATGTTGGACCATATTAGATGGTTGTGTATATGTATATCTGTGTGTGTGGATGGATGGATGGATGGATGGATAGAGATAGATAGATAGATGATAGATAGATAGATGATAGATGAGAGAGAGAGAGAGAGAGAGAGAGAGAGAGAGAGAGATGTAGAAAAAGCCCAGTTTATTTAGGCTGATCACCCTTGCTAAAAAGGAGAGGGGAAACCAGTTTTGGTTCGACTGTTGTAATAATATGTATGCTGCTCGGAAGTTAAATCAGCGATAGGAGGAGGAAGAGTCTGAAGGAAGAAGAGGAAGTGAGGAAATAGAGATTGGGAGATGGATAGAGAGGCAAGGAGAGAAGTGTAAGCCCTTTAACTATTTCAAGTACTTATAAAAAAGTACACTGTTGAGAGCTGCTCCTTTGATTACACAGACAATGTCAAATGAAACAGCTGAAGCCTACAACACACTTAAAACCCAGAACATTTGGTGCAAGTTTATGCTGTCCTATTTGTTTCCAATGATTTTTAAAAATGTAAATTCTAAAACTGTACATGTGACAAATAGGTGTTTAAGAGCACATGCCTAATAAGGGTTTAGCCAAGATTGGCTATGGCTCCCTGCTGAAGGTACACATGGAGTTGCTGTTTAATGTGGGAATGGCCCTAAAAGTCTGTCGTCGTCGTATCTGATTTGCTGAACGGCCTATCTGACTTTGCTCCTATCCTGCACCAGACAGCATGGTGGGGTGCCACCACTGATCCAGTCAGGCACATCACCGCTGGGAGTTAGAAGGGAAGGTTGGGAGGCAGCATTGAGGATAGTGCATTCCAAACATGCCAGCAGAGCCAATCCAGTGCTCCTACTAATGTGTTTGTTCACTTCATTCTCACTCACCCTTCACCCAAGGGCCCCAGGGTGGGTTGCAACATTACAGCCTTGCCGCTCCCACTCTGCCTCCTAGTCACAGGTTAGGTGAAAGCACTGCGTCTGCTTCTGTATGTATATGAAGCATCCTTATACCAGCTCTGATTTCTGGCTCATCTCACCCAATATTTCTTACTCTGACTGGTAGAGGCTGCAAGGCCTTGGGCAGGAATCCTCACATTGTGGGGATCCCTCTCTCTCCTCCCTGCCCCAGTGTGAGGGCAACAGTTATGATGTAAAGGAACAGACAACGATTTGGGATAGAAATTGGTCACAACTTTATTGATTGCAAGTATAGATGGACTTTGGCTCAGGCAGTGGGTGCATATCCATTTCAGCCTCCTGCTAGAGGGCTTAAATTTTGAACAGAGTCACTTCCGAGGGGCGGCGCGAACGGCAATGGCGGTCCTCTTCTGAACGGGAGAGGAGGCTCCGCAGAAAACGGGTCGTCCGCTACGGCGAAGCGGAGACCCACTCCGGAAAACCCCAGGCAGCAAGAGCTTGGGGTCTTGAGGCTCGGTGGGCGCCTTAAGTGACCCTCCAAACGCAGAAGGAACCTCGTAAGGGGCTCCGGAGCGTGGAGGGTTGCGGCGCTGAGGCTGCTTCACAGTCTGCGGAGTGAAGCCGCGCTGCTGCTGCCGGTGAGCGCTGATCCTTTTTCCTGCTAAAACACGGATTCGGACGAAAAGCAACTTACTCGTGAGTAAAGACTGAATCACTTGAAATCAGAGACTTTAAATGAAAAACCTGAACTGGGCTTGAACTTGGCTGAAAGCGGAGAGCCGTGGAAACAGGAAGTCCGTCTTCCGCAGCCATTGAACTTGAAAAAAGCAACTAAGTTGGAGGAGTGGAGGCTGAAAGGAAGAGATTTTAAACTTTACAGATCTAAGCATCTACTGAACCTGCAATTTAAAGTAAAGACTTTAAGCTAAAGACTTGGAATTTTAACTTGCACTTGACTTTCCCCCTTTTATTGGATTACAAATTAGAAGGTGAAACCCAGAGTCAGGAGCTGCCTGAGCATTGAGAAATTGAGCTGTCAGTATTGCAGATTTGGATACTGTATATTGGAACTTGCAACAATCTGAGGGTATTGAGACTTTTTAAATTTGAAACATTCTTTTTGGAGATAAATAAGCACTGTCTGTAACAAAGTGACTACTTATAAACTCTGCTAAATATTTATATTTGAAGGTTCTTGGACATTAAATTAGACTCTGAAAGACATTTTAAGCTCCCTCTAGAGGATTGGATGAAAACAGTGACTTTACATTTACATTTACTTTCGATTCCCTTGTTGTTTGCTTGCTCTGGGCCTTTCTATTCCCATGGGAAAAACTCAGTGTGACCTTGACTGATAGACAACGTTGGAATGAGTGGCACAAGGAAAAGAGGGAGAGTTAGACAAACAACTTTAACAACTCTAACCTCAGCCTCGCAGACACGTAGATCATCTGTACCTACTTTGCCCTCAGAAGTAGAACTTGAAGAAGTTGCCTTGCCACAGGCAAAAGAGGGAGAGGGTGAAGCAGAGCAGTTACAATTGGAAGATATGGCCTCAGGAGTATCTGTTTCTGTTCTAGACAAAATCTTTGAAAAATTGGAAGCTTTGGACAAGAAAGTAGATGCGCAATCAGCAAAGATTGACAAAAATACAGAATGTCTAAATAAATTAACCATACAAGTTGTACAGAATACACAAGCAATTGGACAGTTAACGGAGGCCTCAGCAGAAAATCGGAAATTGGCTGAGGATACTAGACAAAAATTGGAAAATTTAGAGCAAGAGGTAAGACCACTCACCAAACAAGTTGGGGAACATCAGACTTATCTTTCCATGATAGAACTGCGAAATCGTGAGAATAATTTGAGGATTAGATCATTACAAGAGGCAGAAGAAGGAAATTTAACTGAGTTTTTGACCAAAGAATTTTCCAAGTTCTGGAATTTGGAAGAAAAGGATTTTAAAATTGTGTCGGCTTTCAGACTTGGAAGATTCACAAAGAAGGAGAGGCCCAGAGACTGTTTGATTACATTGAGATCAAAGGAGGAAAGGGATAAGATTTTGGGCCTACATTACGGAAAGTCACTGGAGGTTTTGGACAGAAGAATTGAAATTTATAAAGATATTCCAAGACAACTGCTGGATCTTAGAGCCGCCTATTCTGAACTTGCTAAACTACTAAGGAGCAACGCAATTCCATTCAGGTGGGAATTTCCCCAAGGAATATCTTTTACCTTTAAAGGGAGAAAGGTCAAAGTTAGAACATTGGAAGAGAGAGACAAATTTTTGGCTACATACGGAGAGGACCTTCAAAAAGGAATTGAATTACCTTCTGGGCCTGGGGCAAAGCCAGCATTAACACCAGCACCTGGGGAACCTGAAGATCCAGAGAAGACACCACCCCTGGAGAAATAACCAGATAGATCCAGGATGTCTCTGCAATTGCTGAGTTGGAACATTAATGGTTGTAACATTCCGGAAAAAAGGAAGAAAATATTTCATATATTAAAAAAGAACAATTGGACATTATCTGTTTACAAGAAACACATGTGACGAGGCTCCACAGAAAAGTGTTAATAAATAAAAGATTGGGCCAGGAATTTGTTTCGTCGGACAAAGTTAAGAAGAGAGGCGTGGTGATATATGCAAAAGAGAGCCTGTCACCTAAATTCTTATTTAAAGATGAACATGGAAGAATTTTGGCCATTGAGATACAATATCAAGGAGAGAAACTGTTGATATTAGGAATCTATGCACCTAACGAAGGGAAATCGGAATTTTACAAGAAGCTGCAGGGGACAATGCTGGAATATCTGGATTACAACAACATCATAATGATGGGAGACATGAACGGGGTCGTGTCAGCTAACATGGACAAGTCACAAAGTCAAAATGTTACAAAAGACGGCAGACTACCTAAAACTTTTTGAAATGACTGACAATATGGATTTGATTGACATTTGGAGGACAAAGAACCCACTAGGTAGAGAAGGAACATTCTTTTCTGAAGCCCAACTGACCTGGACAAGAATCGACCAAATATGGATTTCCAGAGGCCTGGCACCTAAGGTCAGAAAAGTGGAAATCTGCCCAAAGACCTGCTCTGACCATAATGCAGTAAAGATGGATATGACACTACTACCAACTGGATCCTTTAGATGGAAGATGAATGACAATTTGTTTAGAGATCAGGAAATTACCAAGAAGGCCCAAAAAGTTTTGAAGGACTATTTTGAGATAAACATGAACAATTCGGTGGAAAAAGAATTGTCTGGGGCGCAAGCAAAGCTGTAATGAGGGATTCTTGATACAACAGAATGTAGTAAAGAAAAGAACACAAAATGAGAAAAAAGATAAGATCTTGGACAAATTAAAAGAATTAGAGAAGAAATTAAGAGCGAATCCAAAGTCACAGCCAACTCTGAGAGAAATTAAACTCTATCAAACACAATATTCTAAATTGATAAATCAGGAAATTGAATGGAAGGTTAAATTAATGAAACAAAAAACGTTTGAGTCGGCGAATAAATGTGGAAAACTGCTAGCTTGGCAGTTGAAGAGAAGACAAAGATTAAACACGGTTACAAACTTAGAGGTTGATGGAAAAAACATTCAGAATCCAGTGGATATTAGAAAGTGTTTCCAGAGATATTTTAAAAAATTATACACCCAAGGGCCGCAAGACGAAGTTGAGATTAAACAATTTTGGCAAAAAATGGACTATCTAAATTGTCACAAGAAAACAGGACAATCCTGAACTCTAAAATAACACGACAGGAGATTGAACAAGCTATTCAGAACATGCACTTGGCAAATCCAGGGCCAGATGGGCTGACCTCCAAGTATTATAAGACATTAAAAGACTATTTGATACAACCCTTGATGGAGGTCAGCAATGAAATTATGGAGGGGGAGAGGGCACCGGATTCGTGGAAGGAAGCGTTCATCACATTAATACCAAAGTCAGAAGCTGAAAAGACACAACTGAAGAACTACCGTCCCATCTCTCTTTTAAATGTGGATTACAAAATATTTGCAGATATTTTGGCAAGTAGATTTAAAAAGTATTAAATGAAGTAATTCATAAGGACCAGGCCGGTTTTCTCCCAGGTAGACATCTGTTTGCTAACACAAGGAACATTATTGACATCTTGGAACTTCTGCAAACAGATATAAATACAAAAGCAGTTTTAATTTTCATAGATGCGGAGAAGGCCTTTGACAATATTTCCTGGAAATTTATGATGGGAAATTTAAAAGAGATGGGAGTGGGACGGGGTTTTGAGAATGGGATTGAGGCGATATATTCAGAACAGAAAGCTAAACTGATAGTTAATAATGTGGTCACAGAAGAGTTTAAAATTGAAAAAGGGACACGACAAGGTTGCCCTATTTCCCCTTTGTTATTTATTTCGGTTCTGGAAGTGCTACTGAACATGATTAGAGGGGATCGGTTGGTGGAAGGAATTCAGGTTGGTCAGAAACAATATAAACTAAAAGCTTTTGCAGATGACCTGGTTTTGACCCTGCAGAAGCCAGAGCCCAGTACGAAAAGAGTATTACAATTGATTAATGATTTTGGTCGGGTGGCGGGATTTAAATTAAATAAACAGAAAACTAAGGTTTTGGGGAAAAATTTGACTGATACAGAGTCAGAACGGTTTCAGAATGAGACGGAACTTAATGTGGTTAAAAAGTAAAATACCTAGGGGTAAACATAACAGCAAAAAATCTAAGTCTATTTAAGGATAACTATGAAAAATGTTGGGCAGAAATTAAGAGAGCTTAGACAGTTGAGTCAAAATTGAAACTTTCTTTGTTAGGCCGAATTGCTGCTATTAAGATGAATGTATTGCCAAGGATGTTGTTTTTATTTCAAACACTTCAGGTTTTGGACAAAGCGAGTGCTTTCAGAAGTGGCAGAGATATTTCGAAGTTTGTCTGGCAGGGCAAAAGCCCAGAATCAAGTTTAAGATATTAACTGATGTAAAACAAAGAGGGCTTTGCCCTGCCGGACTTAAAGTTGTATTATGAAGCCGCAGCGTTCTGCTGGCTAAAAGACTGGCTACTTCTTGAAGACACTGATGTGTTGGATTTGGAAGGGTTTAATAATGTTTTTGGATGGCATGCATATTTATGGTATGACAAAGTTAAAGCAAATAAGGCCTTCAAGAACCATATTGTCAGAAAATCATTGTATAATGTCTGGACAAAATATAAAGACTTGCTGGAAAATAAAACACCAAGGTGGCTTTCACCTTTGGAAGCTAAGGCCCGGAAAAGACCCAATATGGAGGCTAAATGGCCAAAATATTGGGAAATACTAGAAAAAGATGGAGACAATTGGAAATTGCAGAGTTTGGAGAAAATGAAAGACAAAGTGCGAGATTGGTTACATTACGCTCAGATTAAAGAAGTTTTTAAAAATGATAAGAAACTAGGGTTCCAGGTGGAGAAATCGAAATTAGAAACAGAATTGTTAGAACCAAAGACTAAGGTACTTTCAAGGATGTATAACTTGCTGTTGGAATGGAATACACAAGATGAAATGGTTAAATCGGCTATGATAAGGTGGGCACAGGACATTGGGTATAATATTATGTTTGAGGACTGGGAAAAGTTGTGGAGTAATGGATTGAAATTTACTGCATGTAACGCTCTGAAAGAAAATGTAATGAAAATGATTTATAGATGGTATATGACCCCAGTTAAACTTGCAAAAATTTACCACCTGTCTGATAATAAGTGTTGGAAATGTAAAGAGTGTGAGGAACGTTCTTCCACCTCTGGTGGACCTGCCCTAAAGTGAAGGCGTTCTGGGAAATGATTTATAATGAATTGAAAAAGGTATTTAAATATACCTTTACCAAGAAACCAGAGGCTTTCCTTCTGGGTATTGTCAGCCAAGGGGTGGCAAAGAAGGACCAGACATTTTTATGTATGCAACAACAGCAGCAAGGATACTTCTTGCAAAACATTGGAAAACTCAAGATTTACCCACACTGGAAGAATGGCAGATGCAACTGATAGACTACATGGAACTGGCTGAAATGACCGGCAGAATCCGTGACCTGGGAGAAGAGAGAATCGAGGAGGATTGGAAGAAATTTAAGAACTATCTACAAAAATATTGTGATTTGAGTGAATGCTAAATAAGATGCTAGACTAAATAACTGAGCACCACTTAACTTAGAAGTTTTTAAGAAAACAAGTAAGACTGTGAAAGTTTAACTCTTTATGAGAACTATAAGATTATGAAACATTGAAGAGATATAAGAATTTAAATAAGATGATAAATTGCTGACAAAATGTTATAACGATGAAAGTGGGAGGCGGGGGATGTGAGGAAGTCAAAGAAAATGTGAAACTATGTTAAGACAAATGTTATATTGTTTA